CCTAAACCCTAAACCAAAAAAAAAAGTATGGGCAGTTTTTTACGTTCCTATATAAATCAGTGTCCGAGCATCATGGCAGGCGACTGCACCACCTGTCTCCACACTGTTCAACAGCTTCATCTTGCCTGAAGATGCCTTGGAGTTTAGGGTTTGGGGTTTAGGGTTTAGGGTTTACAGCTTCATGTTGCCTGAAGATGCCTCGGAGTTTAGGGTTTAGGGTTTAGGGTTTAGGGTTTACAGGTTCATCTTGCCTGAAGATGCCTTGGAGCACTTCAGGTTCATGGCGTCGGTTCTGGGGGACTTGAACTGTATAGGGTTTTGGGTTTACCTTAAGAACCCAAAACCTACTTTGTTGTGGGGTCCCTATAAATCCCATATTAGGGTTTATAATAAGAACCTACCAAAAAGTGGCTTTTGGGTTCTTAAGGTAGGGTTTAGGGTTCTATATGCTTGAAAGCTGGACCTTCATGCTCCTACGGGAGTCGCGCCTCTAGCTTTGCCCCAACTGTCTATCGGAGAAGTTGAAAAACGGACATCGTAACCTTAAGCCCTACACCCGGTACCTTACACCCGAAACCTTAAACCCGAAACCCTGAACCCAAGGCCCTATAAGCCCTAAACAAAACCCTTAAACCGCACCAAGAATCCCAGACCTCAAACGCCAGCCCGGCTCCACCAAAGAGTTTGGGTCTTGGCCTCTTCGCGTTAAACGGCATGATGCTGCAGTTTAGGGTTTAGGGTCAGGGTTTAGGGTTTGGGGTTCAGGGTTTAGGGTTTAGGGTTTACCGTGATCATACTCCAGACCCCCTTGCCGGCACAGCAGCGAAACGCAGAACCCTGAACTCACAACCGAGGTCCAGAAACTATACCCGAGCCATTTCTGGAAATCTTCATACATGTCCGGTGTGCGCCCATATGCTATGATAGTAGCCAGAAGCCCTAAACCCTAAACCCCTTCTACAGGAGTCCTCTGCTAAGCAGAATGACGAGACACGTCGAAGGCATAAGCAGAGACGGTGGCATCTGAGCCCACCTGATTCTCTCGAGTGTTCAGAGGCTTGTCTCTGCACACGTAAACCTAGACAAAATCCAAAACCCTGAACCACCGAGCACCCGCCGACCACAGGCAGGGTTTCTAAGGATTTGGGCGAAATTCAGCTGAAGCCAGAAGTGAAATGTGTCAAGCTTTGGGCTACGGCTACCAGTGGAGTCAAAGGAGCCAGGCAGCAGTTGACAGACTCAGAGTCCAAGCCACTACATCATCTTCTGGAAGATGAACGGTGATTCATGTTGATAATGCTTCCCCTTCTTGGCCCTGCTTGCATCATCCATGCTTCAGGCCGGCAGGTCCGAAACAAGAAGCCCATCATCACCACCATCATGATCATCGTCATCATCATCATCGTCATCACGTAGCAGCGACGTAGCATCATGCACAGCCATCGGTATCACTACACTAGCGTTATTGTCAACATTAGCATCGCCTTCTTCATCATTGCTGCCGCCGTCTTCATCATGATAAGGGCCATCACCATCGCCACCATCGGTACCACCGTCATGATCGTCATTATGATCATCATCGTGGTGCCAATTATCATCACAATCGGAACCATCATCACCGTTATCATTTTCAGCACCATCACCATCGGCATCTCCATCATCGCCAACAGTGATCCCTCATACAAGCCGGCTCTCAGACTCATACCCTGACTTGTAGCCCCGCCTCTGAAACAGTATAGATCCGAGTGCGGGCACGGTTCGCACACCTGAGAACAGTAAAGCCGTCATGAACATATACGCTCATGGTTGAGCGCGGCCAGGGCTGGGGATCTACAGTTTCGTGGTGTCGGTCGAAGGATCATGGAAAAGCGGATGTGCAGCCCTTGAGTAGGAAAGAGCTGACTGCCGGGGCCCAATAAAATTGCCACGACCACGCTTACTACGAAGTTCCTCTACACCCACGGAGTCACCGGAAATCCTGTGCACATGATTCGGGGTCCAAGCTTTTGAACTTTGATTCCGCTTGTGTCGTAGGCACCAGTCCGAAACAATTAGCGCAAAACCCTGAAGAGTTGGCGACAGGCTGGCTGAGGTATTATTGTCATTACTACTGTGTTCCTGTTCAAATGATGGATACTATTGTTTATATCGTTGTTGTTATGACGATGATTATGGTTCTTATTATGGTTGTTGCTGTGATGATGATTAGCATTGTTATTGCGGATATATTGTTATTGATATTATGGTTGTTACCATTAGTATATACTATAGTACCCTCGCCGAGGACTACGCAGTTTCGCGACCCCTTCGATTACGGCACAATGCCAGTGTCCAGCAACAACGAAACTAGGTCAAGCCTTTTCTGATCAAAGACTACCCTAAGGGTCCAAAGGACCTAATAATCATGTA